CACGAGCGCCCTCGATCTGCGCCCCACTCCTTTGGCCCTCGACCTCCGCTTGTAAACGGCCAATCTGCTCCACGACATCATAATAGCGACGGCCCATGTCGGTTATCCTTCTGACGGTCTGCAAAACAGGAAGTTAAAACCAAAATAATGTGTAAGGAGAAAAGACAGAGTCAAGATATGTACCAAAAGAGCCGATTGCGAGGCCAACGCGATTGCAACCAGATCCGGCTCCACCCGAAAAGTCACCTTATCAGCAGGCAGTGAAACGGACGTCGCCAAACTAAGTGCAACCGTTGGATCTTTGATTACCGAAGCATCGGAGAAGATCGGCGTATTTTTCATCTTCGGCTGAATAACAAAAGGTACAATCACATCCGACTCCTCCAAATGAGGCCGTTTATCAGCGCGATCTTCTTCTGAGCTGGCCTCTACATCGGCAGGGCACTTCTCCACTCTTTGCTTAACTTCTACACTGGCCTGCACCAAGGGTTCCGTTTCGGTGCTTCCTCCTTTTGCCGTCACTTCCTCAATAACGGGCAAGGAGGATTGAGACTGAGACTGAGACTGAGATTCGACAGCCCGAATCTCCTCCTCCCTTCGCCGCGCAGCTATCCTTTCTGCGTTCGCTTTCTTGGCAAGCTTAGTGAGGGTCAGCCCAGCCATATCTTCTGGGTACGCGCAAGAAAAATCCTCCAGACCCTGAAAAATATCGTCTAGTGGACGGTCCTATCGACCCGAAGTGGACGGATTATCAGCCGAATTGAGGTCGGCTTCCTTAAATGCTAATTTCAAAGCCTCGTCAACCTCTATTTCGGATTCGTCTGATTCGGCGCCCTCAGCTACTTTCGGTCACTCCGAATCTGATTCCTCGCAACCGACTTGCCTCAAATTTTTTAAGTCAGTCAAGATACGGGCGACAAGAAACTCCTCACTGATCGGAATTGGCATATTTTTCGCTGCCGAAAAGGTCGTATAAGTCGGCTTGTAGCGGAGCAGAACGTGGGTCGCCCTCTCCTGCTTCTGAAGACTCCGTCGGTCGAAGTACTTGAGCGCAGTCTTGATTTCTGAAAGGACGGCGTCGTCAGTTGAGGTCAAGATTTTCTTCAAATCGTTCCCTGCAAAAGCAAAACCATAAGGTCACAAAAATGAAGCTTTATAAATTTAACAAATGATTAAAAGATGATACTCGGCCACCTGGTTCGCCCCTCCGTCTAGGAATACGATCAAGGCGATCCTCGTCTTCACCGAATTCCTAATTTCCCTGGACGATGACCATAACATCATCGACTCGCTTCCCAAAGCTGGAAAGCATAATCACTAGTTGATGGTGGGTGTCTTTGGCTCTAAGGAAATAACGCCCGTGCCGACTAGAAGACTTGGCCAAGGCGTAACAATGTCGAATAGCGGGGATGTCAAGGTTAAGCCCAAGGCGGTGGTTTAGTGCGACAATCCCCATCACAATCCTAAAAAAATTGACGTTGGGCTGCGAAGGGATTAACTCCCAATGGCAAAGCACGGCTCTAAGGAGTGGGTGAAGGGGGAAACGGACCCTGCCCTCTGCGATTGATAGAAGGGGGAAAACGATTGTGGTTTCATCAACCCTCTCCATATCAAGGGTGCCGTCTGCCACAAAAGACAGACAGACGTCATCAGGAATGGAAAAATGGCGTCGGAAGCTAGAAATTCGATCCGGTGAGAGGAGATCTTTTAAATGTTTCGCCATTCTCCCCAATCAATATGATTATGCTAAGCCAAAAAACAAAGCAAGAAAAGAGATTCAAAGCAAAGAATGAAAGAACTTACAAGTGGCGAAGGAGGTAGAGAAGAGTAGGAGGTCGCAGAGGTAGTTCGGAAGGCAATCCAACGACGGGCGTCTAAAAGCGTGTATCTATTTGAAAAGACGTCGAAATTTTAAATCACAATAAATAAGAGTGTACGAAGAGGCGGGAAGTTGAAATGATAACCGAGAAGCATGTGGACAGACATTTGCGTTGGAATACGGTCAGCCGCCGAATTTCGGCTCTAACTCTTCAAGTTCAAAGCCAAACACTCCAGCCAACTGCCGCTAGTAGAGTGCTTGGGGGGCAATTGTGGGGGCCGAATATTGGGAGTCGTAGAGATTCTGGAGAGTCAAACATTGAAGAATCAAGATTCGAAACATTCGGCCATTGCCACGGAAAATCGGACCCAACCTTATTCGGCTAGATAGTCGATTGAGCAAGGAGCTGAGTGAAGATCGGTTTATTACAAAATATGCCGAATAGGAGGTTGGATTTGGAACTAATCCCGAGGCCCAAAGAAGAAAAGATATAAATAGAAGAGACATCAGCCAGAAAGAGGTATGTGATAATTGTATTGTTTAACTTAGAATACAAGTAATCTAGAATGAGAGACTGACTTGTCCGTTAGAGTGCTAATTCTGGCATCCCTGACCGGAGTGTTTACTTCCTTTCAGGTGCCTATCGGTAGATCACGAGCGTCCCCCAGAATCAGAAGAGTATTTTCAAAAACCACTTCCCCACAGATACCAACATGCAATATACCAAGGATACCAATATGCAATCTAGAAGATTTAACAATCATATCTCAAGCATTATGTAGAATACCAAATATTGCTCATAATAGGTTAAACTCAATATAATCTCATGGCGCTAATGTAATTTCAAAAAATGAAGCATGTTCAAGGTATAGCAATCCATATGCCAAGAAAAATCATGAATTTCAATATATAGCACACATTTAAGCATAGGCATGATTCTTAGGCAAGAGCATCATCAAAGAGTATACATTGCAAATCATATGAAGTATAATCAATCTTTTTCATATTAAAGTAATAACAATATTAGCTCAAAGGATATAAGATAGAATTTTTACCTCAAGAGCTTAAGAGAGTATATGAGGCATACGTTAGGTTCAAGAGATGAAAGCTTTTCTTCTTTCACAAAAATCTGTCGTAGAATTCAAAATGAAAAAGGCAAATAAATCATCAAAATAAATTTTGGAATATATTTTTCTCTTTCAAATAAATTAAAACATAATTAAATAAATCATTTAAATAAATAAGTCTAACACAACCGTTTATGTTTAACAAAATGAATTAAAAAATATATATAAACTTATATCGGTTTAGAATGTATGATGTTAATTTTAATTCGAACCATTCAATTATGAAAAATTCTATTTACACACCACCTAACCTCTCAGTACACATCATTTATTTAGACCACACTAAATTCCATTTGAGTATTTTAATTTTTTCTCAATTCACACCATTAATTTACATTTAATACCAAAATACCCTTTCTTTCTTAATCACAAACCCTAAGCCTAACCTAACATCACCACCCATTGCTATCGTCGTCACTACTGTGATTGCCACCGCCGGAATCAACAGTCATCCGTTGCCATCCCCTCCCCAGCCACCAACCCCCCTAATTCCTCCCTTCACTACTACATTGTTCCCAACACCCTCCTGCTACCGTTCTGCGCTATTCTTATTCCACCAAATTTGCAACCATCATTCGCAGTCCCTCCTTCTATCACCTATGTGATCAATCTCCCCAGCCTCGTCGCCCTTCTCTAGTCTTTTTCCAACCTGGCTCTTAACCACCACTCCCTCTTCAACTACCATTATAGTAGGTAAAAACTACCCCACCACTACAACCCGACACCTCCATAATCCTTCCACCTCTAAGACTTCACTAAACAGAGAGAGAGAGAGAGGGAGAGAGATTTGAAGAAGAAGAAGAGTTGATTGGTGGTCGTGGTTATCGCCACCATACTAAACCTAGATCTAACATCCCAACTTGAACCTTAAATCTAGGTGAAAAAGAAGATTATGATGATGCTGAAGAAGAAGAAGAAATGGATGCAGGGAAAAGGGTAGTGGCAATGGCGATGGTTGTGGCCAATGGTGACAGCGGTGGATGTGGTCGGTGGTGGTGGTTGTACCAATGGTGTTGGCTGGTGTGGTGTGTGAATTGAGAGATTGAGTTATTGGGTAATGTCTAAAAGAGTAATTTTGTTGAGAGATACCATATGAATTAAAAAACAATAAATGGTGTGCACTAAGAATCACCCTTAAATTATATAGGAAAAATTATAAATTAAATAAAAAAAAAAACTCTAGAGGTTGACTGTGTAACAAAATGAATTTTAATTTTTAAATTACAATATTTTGATTTATTTTAAATCTAAATCATAAACTTATTTCTATTAAATAAAATTGACGAGCAAAACATATTTAGTCATTAAATTCAATATAGGTATAAATAAAATATCTAAAATATTATTTTTTGCTAAGTTTAATAATTAAAATATATTTTTTCATCAATTTTATCTAACACAAAAATAAACAAATAATTTAGATTGAAAATAAATTAAAAATTATTTTATTACAACAATCAAATTCTTAGATTTTTTTTTCCCTAATCATATATTTTTGTAAATCCTGTCGTTAAAGGGTCTTTTGAAAAAAAAAAAGAAAAAAAGAAAAAAAAAGAGAGAGTCAACATATAGTATTTTATCTATTAAAAAAAAAATTCAACTTTTAACATTTGATCTATTTTAAATCATATTACCTCCCACTTTTTTATCTAAAGTAGACAAAACAAACTAAAAAAAAACTAAAAAAACAACTTTCTACCACCTTCTCATAACGCCACTAAATCTTTCAGCGAGGCGTTTAAAAGGGTCGCAAATTGAACTCTCTCTCTCTCTTACTTGGCTTCAATCTCTCAGTTTCCCGCTACTTCGTGTCTCTCTCTCTCTCTCTCTCTCTCTCTCTCTCTCATCCTCCATTAAACCCTAATCAAAGCTCGGTTTGTTTCCTTCAGACTTCATATATACACCTATGCATATATTTATGTATACGCATTTGCATGTATATGTATCTAATGCTATTGATTTCATTCACTTGTCCCATTTGTCCTTTTCCATTTTCTCGACGGTTACATCTTCAGAGCTCTTTCTCGAATCAGAATCTTCTAAGTTGACTCTCTCTCTCTCTCAGGTCCCTTCTGTTTCTCGCATTAAATCGACGGTTTTCTGATTGAGTTTTTCTTACAATTCTTTCTCTTAGCTCTGTTTGGTTGCTGGGAAAATGTGGGAAAGTTGCGAATTCATATCCCTCACTCTTAACACATGAATTTCTGATTTGTTTCTCTTAATTTTTTTTTGAAGTTTAAGTTGAATGTATGTGTAGTTTTGGGTTTTCGCTCGATTGTCATGTTGTTGATCATCTCTGTGACTGTAGTTGAGGAAGGAAATCGGGAAAGAGATCATGGTGGAAGTGAAGGAGGAGGAAGAGTACATTGTGGGTTTAACTAAGGAGGTCCAATTCGCTTCGTGCTCTCCGGTTTCTGACAGCAGTTGTTGCGATAACCTTACCCCGAGATCTCCATCTGTTCAAGGGTTTGTGTTCATTTGATAATCTTGTTTCTTTCATTCTTGTTATTTTTTTTTAAATCAATTTTTTTTTTTTTTTTCAATCTCCATATACTCTTTCTCATTTGGGTTCGATTGTGATAGAATTATAAGCAATTTCAACCAAGAATTTGTTGAGTACCTGGCTGGAAGAGAGGGTGGTGAAGCAGATTTTATAAATCTATATAATATTTATTTTATTTTGCTGCTGGTGAATTATTTTCTGAAAAATTGCAAATCAGGGGTAATTTCACAAAATATTTACACATACATGAAAAAGTTTATAGCTTTAATTATTAAAAGTTTATCACGGATTTGAAATTATTTTTGAAAACATGCACTGATTTGCAATTTTCCCAATATTTTTCCGAAATATTATGTTGATTGGATGCTGTCATTTGGTTGTAGGATGATAACGTGTCCAATGAAACGTTCATCACAGGCTGGCTGGACAGAGGAAGAGGTCAGTAGCCAGAGCTTGTACTTCAATTGTACTTTACTGTTCAAAGTATAGTGGTCCTCATATTTCGAAAAATTATTAGGGAGTTGATAAATGACATAAAAATATGATAAAAAAAAGAAGATAAATGACATAAAAATAACATGTTTATGTTTTGCCTACCCCTTCGAGTAAACAGTGGAATTTGTGTTAAAGTTAACTTGTTTCTGCAGATTATATTGCTGAACAAGAAGTTTAATAAAAATTTCCTGGTGTACCATTTTAATTTACATTTTTTTGGGGGAATATAGTTTCATCATTTAGGTGGTATGATGAAATGTTGGCATCCAAGAATTGAAAATAAAGCTAATTGACATTGAGCTTGCTAACTGTATGGTTCTAGGATGAATTCTCGTAGATACTGTCTCGAATTTGAAGTTTCTTTTGAGCGTCTGACAACAGGGCCTCATATGTCTTTCTCCTTTCTTGATTACAGGATAATCTGTTAAGTGAAGTTGTCCGAAAGTTCAACGGGAAAAATTGGAAGAAAATAGGTAAGCATGCATCATTTCCATTGATTTTGGTATTATGTTTGTAGCTCCTTCAAGTGGCTCATTTGGTTACAAGTGTCAATCATAGAACTTTCTTTTGGGACCAACTTTTGACGGATTGAAGTGAAGGGATGATTGTAAATTTGCATGTCATGTGTTTAATTGGTTTATTTGACCATGATGGAAATATAATACTATATACACAATGGAAAATAATATGGATTCAGACAAACCTTGTTGGTAAATAGATTGCACAATGAATCAAGCTTAGAAGGTGAATCACTGAAGTATTCTTGGATAATCTCCTCCACAGCAATGGAGTAAAAACTACTAGAGTTTTATCCACATCAATCACACCAATCACAATAGTTTATGGGAAGAGAGAATGTATGTTTCTTTTTTTTGTTGTTGTTGTATAAAATATAAAACCCAAGATCTGTTTATATAGGAGAGTTAGGAGATCCATAAGATAGATATATTATCCAGATAATATCTATCCCATATCTATAATATCTGATCAATAATTATCATATATTATATCGACAATTATCAAGATTATCCCATATCTTGATATATATAATCTATTACTGATATTTGGATCTCTCCTAATTGGGTCGTGCCACCATGGTCGACCCAATTGAGTTTGGGTTCTAAACCCGACCCAATTTCCAACGGGCCATGGTTGCAATCTGTTCATATATGATGGTTACTATTTGCACAGTTGACAATGGGCTTTTGTAGCAAACTAGATGGCTCCTTGCAGTTGGCCCATAGGAACATGCAATGGTGAATGACATTTTTTAGTGCAAGAATGTGCATGCTGAATGACTTTATTGCCATGAATTTTTCCTCCATGTTTCTGTAGTTTTTTTAGAATTGGTGAAACTTGATAAAGCAGCAAGATGATGCTTTTCTTTCTTGACTCTGCTGATATGATAATGTTATTTTCTTGTACAGCTGAATGTATTCCTGGACGGACAGATGTCCAGTGCTTGCATCGTTGGCAGAAGGTTCTTAATCCTGAACTCGTCAAAGGACCTTGGACAAAGGCGGTACACATCAATCTTCTTTCATGCTTTTGTTGTTGTGAGTAACAATTTATATAATCTAACCATTGATATTTGATCGCTCTCTGTTTCTTCTTTGAACCTTCAGGAGGATGATTGCATAATTGGATTAGTTGAGAAGTATGGTTGTAAGAAATGGTCTGCTATTGCAAAGTTCTTACCAGGTCGAATAGGCAAGCAGTGCCGAGAAAGGTTGGTGATGTTAGTTAATTGTTGATGCATAAAACTTCAGGAATGCAACGATATGTTGGAAGTATATGGTCATTTAGTACTTCTGGATCACCTTGAAATGTCTATACTAAGGTTGATGCCTTGGACCCTCATTCATGGAGTTTGAGCTTCAATGGAATTGTGTGTTGCATTTCTTGTATCTATCTAACATGTTAACTACCTGCATGCTTTCATTCGTGTTGTTGATGCATGACTTGGGTCCTTGATAGGGCCCTAAAGCACCTTCATCAAGGCCTTGGTAGGCATAGATGGTGCAATCTTCTTCATGGAATAGACATGAATGCACAAGGAGGTCCAATTGTCATCTATCCATCAACTTTTTTATGTTTGTGAATTTATGTTTTTTTACTATAACTCTAGTATTGAAAAATCATTTTTTTTCTCATAGTGAGTTACTGAGTTCTTACTTGATCTATCCATACTAAGGTTGATGCCTTGGACCCTCATTCATGGAGTTTGAGCTTCAATGGAATTGTGTGTTGCATTTCTTGTATCTATCTAACATGTTAACTACCTGCATGCTTTCATTCGTGTTGTTGATGCATGACTTGGGTCCTTGATAGGGCCCTAAAGCACCTTCATCAAGGCCTTGGTAGGCATAGATGGTGCAATCTTCTTCATGGAATAGACATGAATGCACAAGGAGGTCCAATTGTCATCTATCCATCAACTTTTTTATGTTTGTGAATTTATATTTTTTTACTATAACTCTAGTTTTGAAAAATCATTTTTTTTCTCATAGTGAGTTACTGAGTTCTTACTTGATCTAACCTAGATACATTACAAACACTTTTCTCAAATTTAGAAGGAGATGTGATTTATCGGGTGACACGTTATTTATCAGGTGGCACAACCATTTAGACCCAGCTATAAAAAAAGAAGCATGGACCAAAGAGGAGGAGGTTGTTCTTGCTTATTACCACCGCATCTATGGGAACAAGTGGGCAGAATTAGCAAGATTTCTACCTGGAAGGTATGTATTGGAGGATTAATAAATTCTTATGCATATATTCATCCAACAACTAGTTTCATGTTCTTTATTAATTGGAAATTATCTTTGTATCTTTTGGGTATTCACAGGACTGATAATGCAATAAAAAATCACTGGAATTGCTCGGTGAAGAAGAAGTTGGATTTAAATTTGCTTCCTAGTTCTGTACAAACTGCACCTCCTGAATTTTACAGCCGAGGAACAAAATCAGTATGCACAGAGGTTACAGTAGCAACACATGGAGTTAGTGAAACAGGTTCTCCTGATCCCAGAAGGGGTAAGAAGCATGTTAGTGAGACTTGTTCAACTGAGTTGGTTCTTGGAAATGCTAATGTAGGTGATCGGTGTTTAGAATTGAATCCTTCTAGGATAGGTACCTGTCGATCTTCAGAAGCAGGGGTAAATAAACTGCTAAACCCACTTAGGAGGATCCAGTCTAACGGGACAGATGCAGTTGCAAGTGGTTTGACCAGTGAACCATGCCATGGCAATGGTTATCATGATACACATGGCCCTTTGAAAGCCTCTTCTTTGGATGATTTCTTTCTTGCATCTGGTTCTACTAAATCCAGTTTCACTCCTCTCAATGTTGTTCTTCCTGTTGCTCCCGAGAGAATGTTTGAGTCTCCTAAAAGGCATAAGGGTTGTGGTCTGGGCATTATGAATTCGGAATCTGGGGGCTTGTCAAGCAATTCCTTCTTAAGTTTGTCAACATTTGGGTTTCGTGAGCACAAAGGTGAATTTGGAAAGAAAAACATAGTCCATGTAACACCTCATCCAGAGGACAAATACAATGGATTCTTGTGTAATAAGCCGCCCCATTTGAAGGATTCTGTTATTCCCAAGGAAACTGGTGCTGGATGTGCAAGTGTCGACCCCCTTGATCTTGCACTAAGTATCTCTGTTAGTGGTAGCAGTCCAGAATCTTCGTTGAGGAAATCAGTGATGAGTTATAAAAATACTCCTTCAATTATAAGAAAGCAAACTTCAAGAGAAGCTGACAGTCGTCATTCTTCTGATTGCAACTACACTTCTGCACAGAATTCATGTACTCATGAAGGGGACTTTACAAATGTGAAGCAGGGTGTGCATTCTCTGTTTCATAGATCACAAACATCAGTTGTTGATAGATCTCTTGAAAAACGACTGGAATATGAGTTTGATAAGGAATGGGATTCTGCTACAGTTAGATGTTTCACCCCAGTTTCTGCAACTGCAACATCTCTCCTCTATTTTGGTGCAAATATGATGTTGACTCCTTAAACTGTAAATTAGGTGAGTAGTTAAGTCTTTCCCTTAATATTTCTTGGATTCTTTAAAGTCTTAAGATCAGGATTTCTGAACCCACTTCTTCTTATATCTAAATTCTTTTTTCCCCAGTATAAGTTCCTTAAATGCTTTAGTTTTTCATTGCAGAAACCTGTCCCTTGTGTATCCTGTATTAGATTTGGCAAGATAATAATGGCATGATAGACATCACTTTCTCATCATGTTCGGAAATATAGAGGTGTGTTCAATTTTTTATATTTTTGCATGTCTTAGTTTTTATTTTAGTTTCATGATGCTCGTCAGTTAAGCATAAATGGAGTCAGCTAGTAAATTAAAAAATGTGACTTAATGTATGCTCGATGATTGTATCTTTTCAGGGCTTGGAATTTAAGCTTTCAATTGTCTACTTCATTCTCCTATTTGTTTATCATTCTTTCATATATTTTGCTCTATTTAGTTTCTTACCCTACCAGACCTTTAAAAGAGAACATTTAAGGGTGCCTAGACTTTACTATGCACTTTGTTTTTAGATAACGATAGAAAGTTCATACCTAGGGCTAAAAGAGTGAACATGGGATGTCCAAGGCTTGCAAGGTCTAGGAGATGTAGTAGGTAGATAGCCTTACCCCACTGTTTTGCGGAAAGGTTGTGACAATTTTTTCAGAGAAATTGGTAGAGATCAGTCTTTGCCCTTGAAAGGGAAGTATTTTTAAGAATTAAAATACCTGGGCACTATTTTCAGTCCATATTCTTCTTTTTACAGGGATGTGTTCCGATGTGTCTCAAGTGTCTGTTAGATGTCAAAGTTGATTCTGAACATGCATATAGGTTTTTGCACTTGCTTGCTCTCAAATCTCTTGTCTACAAATTTAGAATATTATGCTTTCCAAAGAAAAACTGCAAACATATTTTTTCTTTTTAAAACATGAAATGACCGTATTTAGTTAGATTATCATACATGCAACTATGTGAGGAATCTGTACTAAATAGATTCTGTGTGGACAGATCGTCCTCCTCCAATGCGCTTACCAACATGCCAATTATGCCACTATCAGGAAAACAATCTCAAAATTCTCAACTTTTGAGCTTTGATCTTGTGGTGTGTTTTTGTTCTATGGTTTTTAGACTTGCAGCTTTCAACTTTTGTACATTCATACCAATCTTTCAAAAACACCAATTTACCTTGGTAGACTCTTGTCATGTTAACTGGTGCATGCAGATTGATGTTAGAAATGAGCATATGTTGCTATCAAGCAAAGTCCCTTCAGACTATAATTCTGACTCAATGTTCAATGATAACTGTTCTAGTATTGCCAAAGCAGTCGTCTTGTACCAACCTATCTTTAACACCAGTGATAATTCGGAATGATTTGAATTTTAGAACCCTTATTTTTTGACATCTGTGTGAACTATGAAGTGCTCTAAACCTCCAAACTGGAGCCCTGTATTTATTTATTTTTAAAATCTGTCAATTGTGTCTTCTTCTTTGCAGATTACAATCAACAAGCTGATTGCAGAGCACAGAGTTTTTGAATTGCCCGTTCCAGCGGATAAAGTTGAAATTCACAGATATAATATATAAATAAATATATACACACACACACATATATATATAGATTCTCCTTGCACACTGTTTGGGAGGGGAAACCTCACAATAATTTTCGTTGTTGTGTAAATCTGTCTTTCAGTTTTACCTTTTATTTTTCTATGTTATAACAAAAAATAGCAATGCATACACAAATGGATTGAAAAAATTGAAGAACATTTGTGAGGCCTTGCTGTTGTAGAATTTTGAAGCTTCCATTGTTGTCAAGAAGGTGAGGTGTTTGCATCAACATCCCACTGTATGATTTTGTTGTTCATTTGCTTGGAATTTTGGTTCCAGCAAGTTTTTAGACTTTTAAAGCTCAAAAAATGTAGTTTTTACATAATCAATTGTTCTTAATTTTTTTGGAACCGCAACTAAACTATCCATAGGGTATTTTAGAATGACCCTAATTCTAATCTTATAACTTAAGACAAATTATACTGGTAGTGCTCATGTTTTAACCATTTTGTTGTTTTGGTTTTTGTAATTTTAATTGGTCTGATTTTGATTGTATATTAATTTGGTTCAATTGATTTCTCCGGCTAGCATTTTGATGAAAAATATGGACGTTTAAAATTATAAACTTGTCTAATTTAGTGAGTTAACCTTAAACGACTTTATATGATTAAATTAAAAAGTAAATAAGAAATGTATACTTTCAAAGTAGACTAATATAATTATTTATCGAATAATGTTATATGTACTAATTAGTATACTAACTAGTGTATCAATTGATGATGTTACCTAATTTAAGAGGTTTTTGATATTTGTAATGTGATTAATGAGTGGGGTCAATAATAATATCATAACTAGTGTTGGTACATTAGTTAATACACCAATTGGTATATGTAACATCACCGTTATTTATCATATCAATTAAAAAAAAATACATAATTTACACATAAAGACAAACAAATTAACAATTTGAATAACCCAACATCAAATGAGCCCCACAAATTAAATAGTATGGTGCCTCATTGCAACTACGATTTAGATAGGATATAATTTGTTTTGGAGAGGTGATGAAGTTTTTTTTGGATTTGTGTTGGTAGGTTTTATCGTCATATCTGTTTTCTTTCATTTTTCACTCGATTGAGACGTTTCGCCAAACGCATAAATAGCGTAGAATTGCCGGAAATGTACGTACATATAATTTATATAATTTTTATTTCATTTTCAATAAAATTAAATAAATCAAAACTAATATAAATAATTTGAAAACTCAAATATAAATAAAAATGAGATAAAATATTATATGAATTAAAATTTTAAACAAATTTAATATAAATAATAAAATTATGAGATTTATTATATTTTTTTCGAACAAGATATATAGATAATGATTGAATGATTAAATGATTAAATGATTCTGAGTTTGAGTTGCTTGTTCATCTCGTAATAGTTGGGCAGGAATCACGATTCTTATATGGTGTACGCAATCGGAAAATTGTATTAATTAAAAAAATATAATACAAATTAATAAATTTTATAAAATATTTTAAAATAATTACTACTGATTTGATTATTGCACATATCTCCTTTAAATTCAGATAAGAAAGTGAATAAGTGTATTTAATTTCAGTTTTCTGAATTTAATGTTTTGAAAATTGAGTTTTTTGTCTTTAGTTAATATTTTTAAATTTTTAAACAATTTTTTTTTATATACTGTTTTAGATACACATTACTTAGATGTATCTAAATAGTAAAATATTGGTGAAAAAATATTTTAAAAAAATTAATAAATACAAAAAATATGAAAATGTACTAATTTTTATATTTTTGGTATTTAGTGAATTTTCTAAACATTTTTTTCACAAATATTATGCTTTTTAAGTGCATTTATGTTAAGTGTCTGTAAAAATTAAAAAGAAATGCTTAAAATATTAAAAAATTCATTGAAAACAATATGTGTATATATATATATATGTGAAAAATAAAAAAATACAGGCTCGGTTTGTTTGAGTTTTGGAACTTTAGTTTCAGTCATTAGTTCTTACGTGGTGTTTGCTTACAGCTTTCAAAAATTAATTTCACGTTCACTTTTGAAAACTCGGTTGAAGGCGAGTAAGTTTTTGTATCAAATATCATATGTCACATCAAAAATTTTCCACTCAATTCAAAACTCTTTTCAAAACTCATTCACCAAACAAATTTTTCACCCTCAAATCATAATTCCAAAACTCATAAACTCTTATTCTTAAATCATATGTAAAAAGCTCTACCAAATACTATCATAATTTTTTGAAAAGTGTTTTCTAAAAACTAAAACCAAACCCAAAACCAAAACCAAACAAGCTGGTGTTGGTCACCTTTTTGAGCCAGCGTATGGAAATAAATAAATAAATAAATAATTTTGAAGGTCTTGTCTTTTCAAACAATTATTTGAGTGGTTGGTTAGTGTGATGTATAGGGACGAAAAGGTATAAAAACATATAGGCTCTGTTTGGTGGAGTTTTCAAAATCTAGTTCCACACTCACTTTTGAGTGTGGTGTTTGTTTAGGGTTTTTAAATCATAATTCTACACTCATTTTCAAAACTCAATTCAAAACATAATTATTACTTTTCAAAACTCATAACCAAACACATAATTCAAAACTCTTTTCAAAACTCCATTCAAATCAATATTTTAAAAATATTTTAATTTTGTTAAGATTTTAAATATTTTAATATTTAAATATGTTACGATTTTTTTAATTTTTTGAATATTTTTAAATATTTTAATTTTTAAATATTACGATTTAAATTTTAAAATATTTTATAAAAATAAATTCAAACTCTATTTTATAAAAATATTTTTAAATATTTTAATTTTTTTGTTAATGTATTTGGTTACGATTTAGGTATTGATTTGGTGGGAAGTTTTGAAAGGGTTTATAAGGCTTAGGGTGAGATACTTGGGGTGTGCCCCAAGGGGTAGATCAAAATTTTCAATAGTGTGAAAGTAGTGTGTTTTGTTATGAGTTATAACAATTTGAATTAAGTTTTGAAAACTCTTTTCAAAACTCATAACCAAACAAATTTTCTTACTTCACATGTCAAATCAAACTTTCAAAACTCAATTCTACACTCAATTCAAAACTTAATTCCACACTCAATTCAACACTTTATTCAAAAACCATAACAAAACAAATTTTCTACACTCAAATCATAATTCTAAAACACACAAACTCAAAATACAACTCATATTCTCAAATCATAGTTACAAAGCTCTACCAAACGGAGCCATAATTTCTGTCATTTCATAAACATGCAGGGGAGATTTTGAAATTATCAATAAGGAAAATGTCTCGTACCTCTAATTTTGTGGCTCAAAAGTTACTCAAATGGCCAAAACGATGTCGTTTTGGCCATTTTATGTTGTTCTGTACTCAAAACGACGTCGTTTTGACCATTTGAGCCACTTTTGAGCCACAAAATTTGAGTTACGTAGTATTGTCGTATCAACAATTTCGACAAAAAAGACTTAGACCTCATTTTGGAAGCAACCCCTACAATCCCCTCTACCTTTTATTGGTCAAAAAAGAACATACATATATTTTTTTTTTCTTCTCCCCCACTCACCAACCCCCACGTGTGTGTGGGGTGGTGGGGGTGAGAATCTGAAGGGGTTTGCATCGCCACTGTAATTTCGGAGTTCAATCTAATTTATTTATTTATTATTAATTGATATATTATACAATAATGAAATTTTAGAACATAAAATATAAGGCCGTGTTTGGATAATAAAATAAGTATCACATTAGTAAATAACAAAAAATTATAAAATTTAGGGCAAATTACATATACCCTCTTGAGGTTTAGCAAAATTACAGATATCCCCCTGAAGTTTGAAAAATTACAGATACCCCCTAAATGTACTATTTACATAACAAATTAGGAGGCAAATTGTTATGAAAATATAAACGTCAGGGGAGGCAATTTGTTATAAAAGTATAAACTTCAGGGGTTATCTGTAATTTCTGAAACCTCAGGAAAGTATCTGTAATTTAGCTAAACCTCGAGGGAGGTATATGTAATTTGCCCTAAAATTTATTAATTTATATAATATTACCCATTATAGTTATTTTCAAAGTTGGGGTTAATTTGGTAAATGTATTCTAATATTTTTTTAAATTTTTATTCTTCTAAGATAAAGTGTTAATAAAAATTTATGAGTTCAATAAATGTTACAAACATATTGAGATCCTCTTATGTGATTGTAGCAAAAGATGAATCCCACTAAATCCTCATTTTGTAAATATTTTGGGGGTGAAAAAAACAAAAAACAAAAAAGACTATATAAGTTAGTAAAATAAAATATCACATCTAAATCATAATTATTATATTTTTTTTCTCACAAAAGTTAAAAAAGTTTAAAAAACAAAAACTTAGGATTCGTTTGGGAAGTGAATTAACTTTTTTGCTATTTTAGCCTAGGGCTAAAAAGTCTCGTTTGGGAAGAACTTTTGATTTTTTTGGCTTTTTTGTGAGAGGAAGAATTTAATGATTATAGATTAGATGTGATATTTTGTCTTATTAAGCTAAAAAAAAAAAAAAATGAATGGCTAAAATAGCCAAAAAAAATTCCAAACTTAGCTTCCCAAACAAAGCCTAAGCGAGGCTAAAAAAATCAAAGCTAATTCAATACAAAAAATTTAACTACCACAACTAATATCAAGCGCAACTTAAATTATATCTAATTCTTTAATCAAATTATGTGTACATGTAAATAAAATAAAAATAAATACCGTAAGAAATTGACAATATTTGGGAGACAAATTTTAATCATTTTTTGAGTCATTTTATTGAACTAGTGGAGCCACTTCAGAAAGGTGGAAATGGATCTATTTTTATTAATTTAGGGGTTGTTTGGATTGTCTTAAATAAATATATTTTTTATCTTTTTAAATTAAAAAGTTGAGGAAAAAAATATGAATATTTAAGTTAACTTTTTGACTTTTTATGAAAAAATATGTATTAAAAAATTGTATAAAGAAGTGTAGGAGAATATTAGAAATGAAAAATCAACAGGCAAGAAATTATTGGCTAATTTGCAGGCATTGTACTAAACGGTTTTGTTCGGCCCGTGGGGGCCATCACGGGTCCCATTTTGATAATCTGAACCGTTCAATGTATAGAAATCATCGAGTACTATACGCCTAATGAAAATTACGTTAATCAGATATCGATAGCTATCTGATCAAATGTATTTTTTTTCGATCGTTAATTATAACACCATCTATTTTTTTATACAAAACTGATTTGATCATATAGTTATTGATATCCGATCAATGTGATTTTTTACAGACATATAGGACTCGACGATTTCTACACAT